AAAGAAAGAAAGAAAGAAAGAAAGAAAGAAAGAAAGAAAGAAAGAAAAGAAAGAAAGAGAGAAAGAAAGAAAGGAGAAAAAAGAAGGAAGGAAGGAAAAAGAAAGAAAGAGAAAGAAAGCTAGAAAAATAATGAACCTAAAACTGCTCTTAAAAAATAATCTGCTAAAAAATTAAAACTAAAAACTAAAACTGTGAAAAATATTTTATTTGAAAATTAATCTGCACCCACAAAAAGAAAAATTTTCTCAATTGAAAACATAAATGTGTTTGGCCAGGCATGGTGGCTCACACCTGTAATCCCAGCAATTTGGGAAGCCAAGGTGGGCAGACCACTTGAGCCCAGGAGTTCAAGACCAGCCTAGGCAACATGGTGAAACCCCATCTCTTCAAAAAAATGCAAAATTAGCTGGGTGTGATGGCGCATGCCTGTAGTCTGAGCTACTCAGAAAGCTGAGGCAGATGGATCCGTTGAACCCAGGAGGTAGAGACTGCAGTGAGCCATGATCATACCACTGCACTCCAGCCTGGGCAACAGAGTAAGACCTTGTCACAAAAATAAATAAACGAAACATAAATGTCTTTTAGAAACCCCCAAACAAAAAAAATCCAATGCTGTTTTGAACAGTAGCAACAAAACTGGAATGGGTTGGAGTTGCTAGAATCTCTACGATGAAGCATTCCTTTTCAGAGACATCATTTCTGTGTCTTTTGAAGATAATAATTTACACCAACACAAAAAACTTCCCAGGGTCTTGACCCTTATTAGCACATATGGGCCATATTCTGGTGGGACAGTCCCTGATGAGATCCACTGTGATGAGTGCTGGCTCACTCCCTGTGTAGCCCTGACCCCTTTGGGAATCATTTTAATGTAACCAGCAACCAGCTCTCTCTCCTTATCCCTTCCTTTTTGTAAAGGTCCTCAAAAAGTAAAATGATTTATCAGTGCCTACCTCCTTCTGTATTTTTTTTTTCGTTTTTTTTTTTTTTCTTTACCCAAGAGGTGCTAAAGGAATGTAGTTTGGCTTCAGTCACCAAAGGCAAGATCTGTGGCCATTCTGTGAACTACTGTGTTAGGAAGTTACCGTGTGATTAAATAAGACTATGTGTGAAAGCAAGTAGCAGTATATCTGGCATGCGGTGGCTATTCAATAACTATTAATAATAAGGAACTTGGTGAATATAATAGCTTAAAGTCACAGCATGGCTCACCCACCTCTATTTGATAGTGGGGTCTTAGCATTCAGCACCATGGCCAAGGACACTTTCAGGACAGGATGAAGATTGGGTTATTGAATGTCTGGCTGTTCCTAGAACGTGCCCGCTGCCCACCCCTCCATGCCATATCTGTTTCCTGTTTCCTGTGTCTTGCTTGTGCCTCCTCATACGTGAGCATTATCTCTGTTGCTCTGTGACCATATTTGCCTCCTTCTATGTCTTTCTTTCCCTTCTCTTCTCCCCAACCCTAACACACACACACACAAACACGCACACTGTTCTCTTACTCCTTGGGAAATCTTTGTCCTTTCCTCCTTCTGTGCCCATCTGAGGCCAAGGCTGGGGACTGAAGTGAGGCCATCTGAAGGGCATAGTTTGGGAAACTGCTTGACCTTGCTGAGTCAGGAGTTCCTCCTTCTATGCCTTCTATGGTCCCAGGAACTGTCCTTAGTGGAGCAAAAGTGCAGCAGCAGCAGCAAGGGATGATTGGGGTCTGGAGCAGATGGGGACATTCAGGCAAATAGTTTCAAGCTACATGAAAGAAAGGCTGCAAGCAAGGAAGTCCTTTATTTGCTCATCTGTGTTAATGGCACGTCAGTCCTTAAAAAGCCAGATAAATGGAACTCAGCATAATTATCAAGAATTACATTTTACTGATATACAAAAAAAAAAAAAAGAGAGAGAGAGAAATGAATGAATTTGCAAGTCGTTCGCATCAAAGTAGGTTCTTACAGAAGGGAAATTCTTACCTGAGGTTTCCCTGGGAACCCTCCCCTAGAGCTGAATGCTGAGGCTGCCCCACCAACAGTAATCTTGGGAGTACCCTCTGCTGTTCCCCCAGAGCTGGTTCTTGGGGCCTGATGAATGTGCTGTTTCCCAGCTCTTATCAGTCAGTGCCACGTGGGACTGAGAGAAGAATGTGTGTCCTTCTCTTCTTCCCCATCCTGCCTTCCACACGCCCACCCCTCCAACACATCTAGCCCCACACCAGCCACCCTCAATATGACCAAAATGGAAATTGTGATCATTATGTAAACCCCTGCTCCTCCTCCTCTGCTCCCCATATCAAAGCTGCCCCCATTCATCTCATCACCCAAGGCAGGCTCCCAGTCAGCCCAGACTCCATTCTTTCCTCCCCACCTCACTCCTCATTTCAATCATCATCAAGTCTAGCCTCCCCTCTTCCTCAGTATCTCTCAGACCAGCCTCCTGCTTTGTATTCCCACTGCTACTTTTTAGTTAACACCCCTCATCCTTTCTCCCCTGGATTACTCAGTTGTCTTTCAGCTGGTCTCCCTGCATCCTGCTGCATTTGCCTTCTAGTCCAACCTCTGTTTTTTTTAAATTTCTAAAACACAATTTAATTCTGTTGCTACCCTGCTTAAAATCCTTTAAGTGCCTCCCCATTTTATGCAGGATCAAGTTTAAACTCTTCATCATGAGCCACCAGAGCCTCCCTGAGTCCCCTGTGACCTCCTGCCTCTCCAACTTCATCGCCCTCTGATTGCCCTTGCAACTCTGCCAGAGCAAATCAGTGACTATTTTCAAAAGCACAACATTATTGAATGCCTCTGTGTGTTTGCATGTGCTGTTACTTAGAATACCTTTTCTCCCTCGTCTTCCCAGGAGACTCCCATTCATTCTTCAAGACTCAGATAGTGTCTCTTCCTTGGTGAGGGCTTCCTGCTTCCCATAGCTTTCCTTTGCAACCCCACCTTAATGATTGATTTAAATTTTCATCTCTACCATGAAAAACATAGGCTGGTTTTTCTTTTCTGATTCCCAGACAATAGGATAGTCAGTCTCTGACATATAGTTGGTGAAAAAGAAATATTTGATGAAAGAATGAACTTGTAATTAGGCAGACTGGGTGACTTTGAACATGTCACACGACCTTTCTGAGACTTAATTTATTTGTCTAAAAATCAGGATAATAATGCCTGCCTTGCAGGTTTGTTGCATAGATTTAAGGAAATAAAATACGTGAGGCACCTAGCCCTGCCCAGCCCATTGTATCAATTCAATGAATATATTTTCCTTGTCTTCTCTCCTTCTTCTTGTTGCTATAATTAACCCACTTTCTATTCTAATCAAAATGGGCAAAAGCAGAAAGAGAAATCTCCAATGTCCAGTGCCAAGGCGCCTAGATGGAAACGGCCACCTATTGCCCATCTGGTAGGAACAAAGTGTCCTCACACCTCAACCTCTCACATCACCCAAGATCAACCAGTCCCTGGTGAGTATTTAGTGAAGGTTAACTAAGGTCTGGCAACAGTTAGGTGTGCAGACTGATCACATGCCAGACGCTGTTCCACATGCTTTACCTATAATAGCTGATTCCGTTTCACAACAACCCTGGGAGGGTAAACTGTCATTGTCCCTACTCTACAGAGGAGGAAACTGAGGTAAGGGAGGTTAAGATCATACAACTAGTAAGTAGTAGAGTAAGGATTGAATCCAAATAACATTGCATCAGAGACTACATTTTGAACTCCTACACAGTTCTTTCCTACGCTGATTAAGGATATTGTGAAAACTAGGTAATAACCACAGATCCACAAAAGAGCAGATCCCTTGCTTTCTGAGATTTGACAATACAATTTACAGACTCGCCATATTAGAATTAAGGGTATACACCAGTGGTCCCATTGCCTCCTTTACAGTTTTTCATTGCAAAACTTATTCTGCAGTGAAAGAGTTGAGGGCATTTGCATTCGGCCCATGGCCATTCACTTTGTTTTTGTAAAGTTCTATTGAAACACGGCTATATATCCATTTATTTTTGCATGTCTGTGGCTGCCCTGGCACTGCAGTGGCGAGCTAAGTAGCTGTGACAGAGGCCTATGGCCTGCAAGCCTGAGATGTGTACTAGTTCGCCCTTTTTGGCAAAAGTTTGCCAACCCCTTCAGTTAATACTATACTTTCAGCCCACGCTTTCTTGTCAAAGCAGGCTGAGAAAATCTCAATGGCCCCAGATCTCAGTTTGGGCAGAGTCTCTAGGGGCTGCTCCCTTCCCAGCCAGCAGCCATTGCCCTGCACTATAAAATCCCTTATTCCTATAGGCCATAAGAAAATGCATCATCTCCTTCAGGGAGTCTGTTTAGCCCAGGGTGGGAGCAGGCAGCAGCTGCAGTTTGTGAGGCAGTAGCTCTGTGGATGATGTGGGGTTGGATTCCTTCTTCTTCTTTGGGGGTGCCTCACATAACTTGAGCCACAGGAGCCCAAATAAAGTGGCTGAGCAGTACAGTCAAGACAAATTTCCTGACCCCACAGAGGCTGCTGGAGGCGGTCCACTGATGGATGGCATGAGGAAAAATTTCTCAGTTGCCGTCTAATCTGTGCCTGGGAAATAAATTGCTCTTGTCACTGGTGTCTGCCCTGGCCCTGCAGGCCCCTCTTCCCTGCAGAGCCCTCCCTGCATCTCTGCCCCTGCTCTGCCAGCCTGGAAACGCTGCCTCAGGGAGCGGGGAAAGAGAGGGACAGGGAGATAGGAGAGGGCGACATGCTCCGTTCCCCTGCCAGTGACCCCCTCCTGCCACCCGCTTCCCTCCATAAACACAGGAACAAGGTCCTGCAGTGGACCTGGGACAGGTCTTATGATCCCAGTTTTCTTATCTGCAAAATGAAAAGCCTTTTAAAGTGATTTCAAAAGCCTTGTCATTCTAAGTTCCTGAGACTAGGCTGGGTGAGGGAAAGGAAGGGAATTTACACAGTTGAAGTTTGGAAGGATCCCTAAATCTACACATAAAGTACGTCCATGTGCCTAAATCTCCCAGCCTGAAATTACATCACATCTTTGTTGGAAGCCAGGGTATAAACTCAGGTTATTATAAGTCATCCAGGGGTCCTCATCTGAGCAGAGCCTCTCCCGGAAAACTTTTCCTTGTTTTAAAGGAAGCCCCTCATCCTACTGCTCCCTATGCCATCTACCTCTCTCTCTACCCCTGCTTCCTCCTTTCTGCCCTTTCGATTTTGAAAACGCAGCATCAACTAGTCACTACCTAAGAGCTAGTGGGATGACCCCACGAGGCCCTTTGGAAATGGGAGACGGTGAGAGGGGCTCTGCCAGACAGCTCCTGCTTGAAAGGGGACTTCCCTTGGGACCCACAGGAGGACTTCCTTGCTGGGGGCTAAATTTTCACTGAGGTGTCCCATCAATAATCCAATAAGACAGGGACAGATGCTGGCTAAGACTTGGGCTCTACGCTTTTTGTCTCTAGATGGAAGAACCCACATTAGCTGACATCCAACATCTGGCCAACCCGGGAGGACTAAATGGAGGAGGTGGTGTTTTAGTAGCCACCTGAATGAGAGAGGAGAGCTCACTTGTCATGGGCAAGGACAGACAGCACAGGGGTCACCTCCCTGCTGAGGCGGATGTAATCACAGGCTCATCCTGGGAACTAAACTGGATCTGTCACTACGATTTCACAGCTGCAGCTCAAGGATAGATAGGGCTGAGGAGGGAGGTTGGGAGCGTGGGTCATGCATTAGCAGCATGGATAGATAGGGCTAAATCCCACGTGAAAGCTGGGTGGGGAAGACCGAGAAGCTGTAACCATGCTCCAAATCCTCTCCTGAACACCTCACCCAGGGGCCTGGATCCACAACGTTGGTCTTCTAACCTAGCTAGAGCTGTCAGCAGCCCAGTTTTTGTTAGCCACCTAACAACTATTTATCAAGCACCTCAGCTGTAAGAAGCAAGTCAAACAGATCTGAGGACAAATCCCAGCTTCTGCGTTTATTAGTTGTGTGGCCAAGGTTAAACTGCTTATTCCTTCTGAGCCGTATTTCCGTATCTGCTAAATGGGATTAACAGTAGCTACTTCTTTGGGGTTTTGCTTGGCTTAAATGAGATAATGTGTGCAACTTACCTTTTAGAGCACCGACACTAAGTACATGCTCAATAAACTAATTTATTCACCACATATTTTGAAGTGCCTGCCGTAACTATTGTTGGTATTACCTAAGACGGTGGAGCTTGTGTCAACTTCAGCTGTAGTTATATCAGAATAGCACCCATGAAGTTATGTCTTCAGGATTGTCCCTGATTGTCTTTAGGGCCGTTTCCTGGAGAATGCAGAAGGTTCCTTTCCAAAAAGGGTTAAGGGTCATGGAAAGGCTCTTCCACACCTCTTTTCACCCTGGCATGGTCAGTAGGGTGCAGGAGACAGGGGCTCCAAACTCTCGTCTCATCAGAGTACCCACCTCCTTGGGCTATTGTGAGGAATAAATGACTTTATGCGTGTAAAACACTTAGGACAGTGGTTGCCACATGATGCAAGCTTGACTGATATTCATTTTCATTGCCATAGTAGGGCTCAGCTTTCATGGAGACTAAGGGCATGTGGTGGGAGGAACTTCCATCTCTCCATGTCCACTGAGGAGTGAAGTTGCAGCATGTAAGATGTAGGGTAGGCACAAGGGAATACTTCTGAGCTGTATCCTAGACATTCTGCTTACTGTGGCTTCTGGAAAGAAGACTCAAACAATGCCTAGAGGTGAAAGAAGGCAAATATTTCCAAGCAAATTCCTGCCAGTAGTGACTCCCTTTGCCTGCAGGGCCCCAGCATCCTTCAGGGTCTCTTCAGTGGTTCTAGCTGGGCTCAGGGAACTTGCAGGGCCTTGCAGAGTCATCCCATCCAATCTCCCCTTTCCCTCAATGCCAGTCCCAGCCCTTCCCTGGCTCACTGAGGTCGCTTCTCTTCTCAGAGGACGTAGTGCTGAGACTAAGATGGCCCAAAGAGCTTCTCTGTGCACTCGGGGGGCCTTGGGGGAAGAGGAACTTCAAACTGGTCAGTATAGCAACTCCCAGCCAGTGGCTTCCCAGCAGGAGCCTGACACATAGCATCAGCTCATCAGGACCTTGTAGGTCATGCTAGGGAGTTTCAATCTTCTGAAAGCAGCGGGAACCGAGAAACGTTTTTAAATAGGAGACAGACATGTTCAAATTTGCTTCTTTGAAAGGTCACTCTGGCTGCTGTGTGGAGAAAAACACTGGACATGAGTAGGATGGAGGAAGGGAGACCAGTGAGAGGGCTATTGCGCTGCTGGTCCCAGAAGGTCCCAAATGACAAGGTGACATTTGAGCAAAGATCTGAATAAAGTTAACCAAGTGTTTATGCCAGGCAGAGAGGAGGATAAGTGCAAAGGCCCTGAGGCAGGAGTGTCCTCGTTTGATTCAGGACCAGCCCGGGGGTGGGGGAGTGTCTAGATCGGAACTGTCCAAGGGAAAAGAGTAGGCATTGAGGTTAGAGAGGCAATGGGGAACCAGATCACAGGGGGCCTTGTAGTAGAGTGACCAACCGCTCCAGTGTGTCTGGGACTGGGGGGTGTCCTGGGATGGGGGACTTTCAGTGCTAAAACTGACCTGTGGGTAGCAGAACTGACCTATCCATCAGGCACAGAAAACACTGTGCTTAGGGCCCACAATACTTTTAGGGCCCATGACAATGTTTTCCTTTTCATTTTTTTTTTTTTCAATCAGAAGAAAAAAATCACCATGATAAGAATGAATTTAGCCTGGATTAGATTTGTCTTCATTCCAATGCTATTTAAAAGTCTAATTTTAACAAGTTTTTATGGAGAAATGGGACCATAAAGGAAAAGATCCACAAAAATCATAATGCAGTCCCCAAAACCCTGATGCAAAATCACCCTGTGTCATAGGCCTTTGCAGGGACTTTGGCTCAGAGTTTTTTTTTATTTTTTGAAACAGAGTCTCACTTTGTCACCCAGGCTGGAGTCCAATGGCATGATCTCGGCTCACTGCAACATTAGCCTCCTGGGTTCAAGCGATTCTCCTGCCTCAGTCTCCTGAGTAGCTGGGATTATAGGAGCTCGCCACTACATCCAGCTAATTTTTTGTATTTTTAGTAGAGACGGGGTTTTACTATGTTGGCCAGGCTGGTCTTGAACTCCAGACCTCATGATCCGCCCACCTTGGTCTCCCAAAGTGCTGGGATTACAGGCATGAGCCACCACGCCTGGCCTTATTCACCTTTTGCAGAGGCGAGAACTAGAGACTTTGAAGGGTTAAAGTAAGGCAGTCCCTGAGAGATGTTTGTGGGTTGGCCCAGGAAAATGGCAAGGAAGAAGGGATTTGATGGAGTTAAACAAATTCTAATAGTGGGATTGACAAGACTGGATGCTTGTGGCCATGTGTGCCTTGGGTTGGGGAATGGGCAAGAAGGAGGCCTACATGACTCAGTTCACTAACCTGGGCAGCCACATGTTTGAAGGTGCCTTTTGCTGAGATGTGGAACCAGCAGCCGACAACCTACAGCAAGTCACGTAACCCTTCAAGTGTCAGTTTCCTGTCCCAATGGGGGACTGCAGACCATCTCACAGCACTATTGCGAGAATGATAAAAACTTTTAATAACTCACGTAAATGCGCCTGGTACACAGTAGGTGCTCATAAACACGAGTTGAACCTTTCTGAAGGTCCGGTATCATTCATTTGCAAAAAAAAATGAAATTCATGTATTACTAAGGTTAAATGTGCTATTAAGAAACATTCTATAAGATGGAGAGTCAAGGAGGGGGCTCTTTAGAAGGATCAGAAGAAGCCTCCCAGAGGTAGCACTTGTGGACCAGTGAGTTCACCTGGCACTGCGAAGGACCTTCCACTGAGAAAGGGGGCGAGCCTAGGAGTACTCTGGGTACCCCTAACAGGAACAGAGAGGAGAAGGCAGCTGGAGTCTCCCGGAGGCCTGGGCCAAGTGGTTGTCAGAGGCATAGATTTGCTAAGGAGGCAACAATCACCACACTGTTCTTCCTACTGAGGTTTGCCAGCACCCCCCGTAAGCGATGGGTATTTACTTCTCCCGGCTGTACTGCGTATGCTGGCAAAAGGAGCCTCCGGAGCTCAGCCAGGAGAGGAGGAGGACAACACTCGCTCCGTCAGCCCACAGGAACACTTTGTCCCCGTCCCCACTACCTGGGTCAGCAAAGCCAGCCCCATGCCCTCAGTGTGCAGAAGCAGAGCGGTGCAGACGCCTCCGTCCTCCTCGGCACGCGCTGTGACCCCACGCCCAGGGCTGCACCTTCTCTCACGGGCTGAGAGGCCCAAGACATCTGTAACACTGGGATGATGGTCCCAGAAACCATACAGGGCTGCTGTGAGGCTTACCCAAAGTAACACATATGAAAAGTGCTTTGTAAACCGTAAGGCGTTTTACGGATGTTCACTTACGATTTGTAAACAAATCAATCAGAAGGTGCATGATGAGTGCCCCAGAACTGGGTGGAGGCAGAGAAGGTTAGAGGAGGAGGAGTGGCCGCAAAGTACCCGCAGGGACTGTGTCCAACACAGAAAGACAGTGTGTCAAAGGTACATGAATAAACATGAGACTCCTAACTGCTTTAATTGTACACCAGTTAACAAGGTAGACAGGCAGCTGCTGGTTTCTCCTAGGCAGGAGAGGACCGCCCCCTCTTCCTGCCCTGCTTAGCTGCTTGCCCAGAGGACAGCGGACAGGATCTCACAGGGCAGGTCCCTCTCCCTGGGTCCCCCTCCCTCCTCCATCCCGTCTGGCCCACAGCTCCTTTGCACACCTTGACACCCAGCAGTGTAAGTCAATGGGGGCTTGGAACCAGTGCTCATAAGTAAGCTCTGCCAGATGCTGGGCAGGTCAGTGCTGGCCAGCAGTCACCCTTGGCAGGTGGGGGCCTCTTGGTGCTGACCCCAAGCTGGACACAGGCTCGGGATCCACCATGTGCAAGGGGGTTCTGGCCTGAGGGAGACTGAGAGACAGCAGGCAGGAAGCCCGGGATCGGAGGGGAGGCGGGGCCTACCAGGCAACCACCAGCTGCCGTTCTAGATTCAGGCCGTGCTTACTGTACATCTACTAAGTGCCCTGCACACAGCACACTGAGGATAACACACATGTGTTATCCTCTTCGATGCTCACAGTCGCCCTGTGTGTAATTAGCAATGCTGCTATAGGGAGAAGAGCAGGGACTTAGGGTCACACACGGTTCAAGGTCTCAAGCCTTCCCAGACCAAATTGTGGGTTGTTTTCTGAAACTTCTGAAAACATCTCCCCACCCCACATCTGTGCCCTTACCGAAGCTACCCTGGACAGCAAAAACACCCCTGCTATACTCCCTCTTCTCCCCGCTGAGAGGCAGGTGCAGAGTGCAGAGGCAGTCCCTTGGGTATTTGTCAGAGAGGGTCTCTGTCCAGGTCTGCTCGCCAACCTTCTTCATCCTGGCTTCTGGCTGGGTTTGGCCAGTGGGAGTCTCAGCAAGAGCCTGGAGGGAGGAAAGAGGGTGAGGTTGGAGTACTCCTTTGGCTGCCTGCTGGTAGGTCATCTGGAAGTGGCTCTGCCCCGTAGCTGAAGGCCATAGCTCCTCTCGAGGGGACCCTTTCTATGATCCTCTTCTCCGAAGCTGGGGTCCACTCCCGCCCCTCATTCTGTTAGCCTAGATGGTGGCAGCACCGCTTTATTTGCCTGGTGAGTGGAGCCATCCCTTGTGGTTTCTGTAGACCCTGCCTGCATCTCTGAATGCAGCCCCTTTATAAACCTTCTCCCATACCCTAATTTGGGTGTGCCACCTGCCTGGCATGGAGGGGTGCTGTAGGAGGTTATGGTAAAGGTCTAAGGTGACATATACGGTCCTCCTAGACCCATATAGAGAACAGGATGCTGATTCTGACCCATGCCACTAGGATATGTGCCCCAAAGCTTTCCAAATTTCAGCAGCTTGGCAGAAGATCCAGCAGCCTCCTTACGCTATTGGAAGATCCCCTCCACAGCCTTCTCAGGCCAGGCTGGTATACGGTCATTAGCATAAGACAAAGACTTGGCTCAAGGAGGACCATCAAGATGTAACCAAGGTGTGAAAAGTAATTACAAGCTGGTGATCAGAGTCACCTGGGGTTGCACTTGCTGGAACGTACCTCCTTGACCTTGGAAGATGAGGGGTGAAGGGGAGGAGTTAGCTTGTGGATAATGGACACTGGGAACTCATACTCAGGAGGAAGACGGGTAGGCTTGCCCCTATGGGGTGAATATATGGCACTGGGGAAGGGAATATATGGGACTGGAGACTGCCCAACTGGACATTCTGGGGCACTGCAGAATTGAGAAGCAGCCCAGGTCTTGGAGCTCCAGAACACGAAGCAGGGGGGCCCCATCTCTAGTTGTGAGGTTTCAGTCTGGGCTTGACCTCAGCGTAACCTCCCCCATGGGCCTGAGGATCTCAGTTGCCCACAGTGAACCCCAGGGCTGGCGAGAGCAGCTGGGCAGACCAGGATGGAGACGGGGCAGAGTCAGGTGAGCCCTAACGCTGCAGGACTGATGAAGCCACAGAGTGGCCGGCACCGTACTCTGTCTGTGACATGATGCCAGGGATGTAGAAGGTCCCCAAGAAGAGTGAGTGAGAGGGTCCAGGCGCTTTGAAGTTCACTAATGGCACTGACTAGACAGTGAGGCCTTGTTTCACCCATTTTCAAAGAGTAGCCCGGCTCCAGGAGGCCAGGAGGCCCCAGCTCAGCAGCTAACCAGCTGGGTAACACAGGCAGTGCTTTTGGTAGCTCGAGGCCTTAGTCCCCTGATCTCTCAAACAGAGGAGACACCCATCCTAAGACTGATGGATGAAACCATTTGCAAATGTGGGAGGTATTTTAATAGCAGCAACTAAGAGCAGGATGTGTGTGTTACAAAAAAACACTTTGTAGCGTCATCCTTTTGCAGCCACTCCTCAGAGAACCAGCCTCTGCCCAGTGGCAAGGGTCAGTGTGTCACCTGACGGCTGCCTTTCCTTGCCCCTCTGATCCCTCCCCTGGACAACCAACCCACCTCCTTCAGGTCTTCACTTCTGCCTCTGTTTCTGCCTCTGAGCTCCCCAAAATCCCTATCCAGGCCAAGCCCCTGTAGCCGCAGCAGAGGAAGAGAGATGGTTGTAGTCCGAGGGGTCTTCCTCATGCTTCCATCTTCGCAGAGTGCCTGGAAAATACACCCCCCAGCTTGGGTGCCAGATTTCATGAATTAAAACACAGGACAACGAAAGTTTTTAGTTTAAGTGTGTTCCAAATATTACATTATCTGAAATTCATAGTTAACTGGACATCCTATATTTTATCTGGCATTCCTAAACCCCAGTCAAGAAGGTTTCCAGATAGAGTCTGCTGCCAGGTGCTGCTTTGGTGAGCGGCCATGCTCTGAGTAGTATAGCATCCTTAGCTAAGACCCTCTGTGGGCAACAGGCCGTTTTTTAGAGCAGGAACATCAGGGGTCCCATGTTCCGACAGGCCTTCTGTACCGTTTCAGACTCAAAAAACCTTCACACAATAAGCCACTCAGCAGATATCTAGCAAACATCTGTCTTACATGAACCACTGTCCTGAGCACTGGAGCTATTCTGGTAAAGAGAGAAACAGTGTCATCTCTCATCACAATCGTGTTTGGAGCAAGTACCAAATGCCAAGCTCTGTGTGATGCATTTGAGAGGCCATTTCATGAAATCCTCACAAAAACCCAGGAAGATGGTTTTTTACAGATGAGAAAACAGGTTTACTGAGGTTAATTGTTTATTCATTCAACAAACCGTTATTGAGGACCTACCAGATGCTGGGCATCGTCCTTGGTGCTGTGAAGACAGCAATGAACCAAGCAGATGAACCCCACTGCCCGCATGCAGCTTAGGATCTAGTAGGGAACATGGGTGGGGAGACAGGAATGAGAAAAGAAAGCATCGTGTACTGTGTGTGAAAAGGTAATGAGTATTGCCAGCAACACAAAGCAAAGAATGAGGCTATGGAGTGCCCAGGTGGGCATTGTAATTCAAATTAGGGTGATCAGGGGAGGCCCCCTGACGAGGTGACATTTGAGCAAAAATGTGAAGGAAGTGAGGGGAGGTGGGGAGAAGCAGAGGAGATTCCCCTCAGGTAGCTCTTGAAGGTCCGCCGCCTGCTTACTGCTTTCACACACAGGATTTCATTTAATCCACACACCAGAACGACCCTGAAGGTTCGTTTTATTATCACACTTTCCCAGGGAGGGGAGATAAAAATGACTCAAAAAAGATGAAATGACGTGCCTGAAGTTCTGATGCTGGAAATTCCAGCTCAGTTGGTCCATTTCCCAGTCCACCAAGCACAATGGGAAGCGGGCGGTTCACCCTGCCTGTGCAGCCTTGCACAACCCACTTAATTTTCTAAACCTTAATTTTCCCAACCTGGAAAGTGGGGTTAGTATCATTACCTATCTCACAGCAGCATTGCTGTGAAGATCAGCAGGTAATTCCTGTAAAGTGCCAGGCTCCCTGCATGCGTGCTGTTACTATGACTCTAAGAATAATGCTCTATTCATTGCATCACCCTGGAGGACCAGAGTTAAACACTGTGGTGCTCAGGACTTGGGGAGGGAAAGGATGCTGTGGGAGAGCAGGGGACAGGGAAGTGGAGGGAGCACAGGCAGAGTGGAGGTGGAAGAAAACCACCACTAAGCAAGCCCACCTGCGTGAGAGTGGATGAGTAAATGTCGCTTAAACCTAAGAGGCACGACTCAGTGATTGTAATTACACTGGTTTGAGGTTATGACTTCAGTAATTTTATCTTTCTTTTGGAGGTGCTGGCTCATTTTTTATGCATGCACGGGAACTGATTGCATCCCGGAGAACGCTCTCCGCCTGTTGGTCTGGAGGTGCACCGCCATATGCTTGGCGTATGCGTAATTAACCCAGTGCAGCTGCACTCCCTCTGTCTGGATTATGGATTCGATTTCAGTTTCACTCTCAGGCAAGAGGCCCACAATCCCTATTTATTAAAATGATTACCCCTTAAAAGAAGGTGCTGGAGACAGAGCCCAGCACGAGGCTGGAAGCCGTCTGTGCCAGGCTTACGTAGATGACGCCTGTTGCCAGTATGCACAGCTCAGGCTCGGTCTCTGCCAGCCCACGGAAAGGACTCCCTGCCTGCTGGGCACATTGCTGAGCAGGCCCCACAGAGGGCTGAGGGCTGCAGGCTGCCTTGAAGGCATCCAGAATTTCGTGTCACTGGACTTGCTTTGCTTTTCCAGCCCCCACTCCATCTTCTCCCTGCCAGCCTTCCTCCAAACCATGACAGCCACTGACCACTCAGACTTTCCAGAAGAGTGCTTTCAGCACCCGGAATAGGGACTTAGACCTAGTAGCCACCTGATTAATATTGAGCAAGGCAAGTGACCAGGATGAGAAGAGGACCAAGAAAAGCTCCATTCATCTCTAGGGGAGAAACCTGAGCCTGTGACCCACATATATTGCCACCTCCACAAACAGCCGATTATCCAGACAGTGGCAGCTGGAGAGATTGATGGGTCAGGTATTCCTGGGAGCTTAGAGGCAGGGGCAAGAGGAGGATATAGGGAGCCAAACCAAGTTGCTGGCTGTCGTGGTAAACATCCCTCGCACCTTACTGGCCTCAGCAGGTGGGCAGTGGCTCTGATGAGGCTCTCCTGGAGAATGCAGAGCCATTCCGGGGTCCCTGTTGAGCTGTGAGCCACGGTTTGTTCCATAGCCACGGCCCCTCATGCTGGTGATTCACCTCACACACAGGCACTGAGCGTTCACATGGTGCCAGACTCCCTGCTAGGTGCTGGGTTGGGGAATACAAGGAAGAATGAGGAACAGGCTTGGTCCCCGAGGAGCTCGTGTTTAGTGAGGGAGACAGATACGTAAACAAACGGTTGCAATACGACGGGATAAAGACTGTAATGCAGGCGTGTTTACAGAGGTTTGAACACTGAATTTGCCAGGAGGAGTTGTGATGAGATTGTTGAGATTTTCATTGTGTAAAGATGCGTTTGGGGGCAGAATGGAGGCAGTGACATTTCATTTAATCCACGGAGGTATGTGAGCTGGGTTAAGCTTTATGCTGGCTTTTAGAAGACGAACAGTCCTTAGACTCAAGGAACCTTCATTCTACAGGGGAAGATTCACCCTGTACTCATGTACTCAGCAAGCATTTATCAAGCACCTATAACGTGTTAGATGATAGGAAGGTACTTAGACACAGTTACTGCCCTGATCTAGAGGGAAGACAGCAAAATTCATTATAAGAAGGGCCTTTTAAAGGTACAGAGAGAAAGAAACAATTACTTATGTGGAGTGGATAAAATAGCAGCTCCAGGAAGACTTCCTAGGAGTGGTTAGGTCCAAGATGGGTTCTGAAGGGTAATTAGGAGTTGTCAGATAAAAAGTAGCAGGGGTGGGGGTTATTAGGTCAGTGGGAATGAGTCTACGGATATTATAAGGACTTAAACAGCTGGACAATATAGGAGCTCAACAATAACATGGATGAGAGATGCACAAGGCATCCAACACAGGGGAAACCTAAGCACCAAAGTCCTGTTATGGAGAATAAACCCCACCCAGGGTGTCTCTGCATGTGAGGGACATGCTCAGTTCAGTCTTTGCAGCTGTGGTTTGTGCCCTATGTGTCTGTGTCATGTGGGTGGTTGAACATGCGGCCAGCCTTCTTCTGCCTCCACCAATGTCACTGATCACTCTCCCAGTCCCTAGCTGAGAATGCTCAAAGGCCACTCCCTGGGCTTGTGAGTTGAAGACAAACAGGAAGAGGTCCTGGTGCAGTGGCCCCCGGTGGCCGGTGGCTGAACCAGCCATGTCAGAGTCCCCTGCGGGGTGTCTTCACACACAACTCTGTGCCTCTGTTCTGGAGGTCCCGTTCAGTGTGCCAGGCTGTGGCCCAGGGTTCATACATTTTAAGCTCCCAGAGTGATTGTGATGAGACCCCTTCATCAAATGTCTCTAGGTTGTTCACAAGGAAAGGAGAGTCCGCTGTGGGGACATTCCAAGGGGAAGGAGACCTATGGGTCAGCTGTGAGGGGTCCCCAGATGGTGCTGTGGCCTCCAAGGATTCCCGAG